GAAAAATACTATAGAGAATCATGAATCATGATTCAGAATCAGAGACGAATACATAAAATAAACATCCCATTAATCTTTAATCACATGATTAATTAGAAAAAATTAATTTTAGATACATTAATATACACAATTAACATAATTAAATATGTTTAATTCTTAAAGGGGCTATAGCTAAGCAAAGTGGGAAAAATGGCCAAAACACTGAACAGGATACAAATCCAAATATTAATAAGCTTGTGGTATAAATCCGAAGCCACGAAAATAGAGTGGCATTCCACTGAATTTTCTCAAAACCGTCCATATTCGGTTAGGCCCTTACCACCTGACCCAAATCCACTCTAAACTAGGCCCGTATAATCCCGTGTGTATGGACAGTCCACATACACAGAGGGTATTCTAGTCATTTCAGTTCCGTTAAAAGGATGGCTTGTAATTCTCAAACCCTAATTACATCTTCCCCTTTTAAATTCGCTTTCAGAATATTCTGCAACCCCCATTTGTGTTAGAGCCCAGTATTTGTCTGATCCTTTTTTTTTTGTTGGAACATTTTCTCTTCTGATATAGATTTTCTCGTGTTTTCTTCACTTCATTACGTGGGGTTTACTTGGTTTTTTTTTTTTGGTGGTATAATGTGTTTTTGCCCAGTGATGGAGAAAACCCAAATTGAAATGAGCGGTTTTAGTGAATGTGGTTCTTGTCCTTCGTAAGTCCTTTTACACTCTACTGCCACCACCTCTTCTGCTTCTTCTTCTTCTTCTTCTTCTTCTTCTTTTCTTTTCTTTTCTTTATACACATACGTACATGCATACATATATATACACCCACACACACACATTCGCCAGGTGAGGTGGTACGGCGGTGGTTTTGTTTGAGGGTCTCTTTGAAGAACTTCCATTTTGCTATTTTAGGCCGCGGATGAGTCTCCCAAAGCTATGAGATCTGAGGGCTTTTCTTCTCTTCTTTTCTTCCAAAGCTATGGATTTCAAATGAGTTTTCTACTATCTCATTATCTAAAGTTTAATGGGGTTTATTTACCTTTTCTTTTTCAGGGGAGTAAAATGCAATTTTTAGAAATTATTTTGTTTTTGATGCACGATGATGATGATACATGCACTGGGCTCTGAGCAGTTCATTACTGTGCTTATTGATGGAAATGCAGCCTAGAAAGCTTTATCTGAACCCAATTTGTTTATTTTTTGTTCTTTCTTTCTTTTTTTTATGCTCTTTTTTTTCCTAACATTTTGGTTTTCGGTGTCCCAATATGTGAATAAATGTTTGTTTTAAATTCATTTGATTTATCTGGTGCTGCTTTGTTTTATTTTGCGTTTGTGTTTTAAATGTATTTATTGATTTATGCTTCAGTAGTTTTCAAGTAATTGTTTGATTTACATTTCTTCTTAGTTTTGCTGCTTTTGCCCTATGATGGAACAAATATAAGGCCTCGTTTGTTTCGCCGTTCGAGTCACAACTCAAATTTTTTTTTTGCTTTGAAGCAGTTACCATGGATTTTCATAATGAGCCGTGCTTTACATTTTTTGCTCCTTCGTCATCTCCTTCGTCTTCACAATCATCATCGTCATCATCACCACTTCCCTCTCTCTCTCTCTCTCTCTCTCTCTCTCACTCTCTCTAGGTGGTAGAAGATGTAAAGTGGTTCTTGATGAAAATTCTGTGGTTGTACTGAAATCTGAGGGCTTTCTAAATGACTTTCCTTGTCAAATCTTTTGTTTTAGCTTACATTTTTTTTTTGCTTTAGTATTAAATTTGATCTCTGGTTTCTTTTTTTTTCTTTAATTTAAATCTGTGTTTTTTTTTTTTAATTTTGAAAAGTCTAGATTAATCTAAGGATCATGCAATTCTATTACCATCTAGTATTGTTCTGTTTATATGATTATTGTATTTAATGTTGCCTCATTGATTATTTAGCTAATGTATTATGTAACCCCTTTTCTTGTAATTTAAACTACAAAATAAATGCAAGCTTTGCCAATTAACTTCTGCCTAAAAATACTGGGAGAGGGGAAAAAAAGGGTATTTAAGTCTTGCCCAATGATGGAAAATCATAGAATTGAGTAGTGCTTTGAGCGTCATTTTTAAGCCTCCATCTCTTCATGCACTACCAATGTCTCCACCACCACCTTCAAGATATACCCAACCCAACAAGACCTTTCTTGTTGTTGTTGTTGTTGTTGTTATTATTATTATTATTAGTTGGATTATTTTCATAAATGCCCCTGAAGTAAGATGGTGATGATGATGATGATGATGATGATCTGTTGTTGTTGCTGCTGCTATTGTTGTGGGTGGTGGAAAGCAGTGGTAGTGGTTGTCTTTGTTGACCTTAAGAGTGTGATTGGATTTCAGTGAAGCTTAAATGCCCATGAAAATCTCCAGCTATATTAGCTTTATGATCTGAGGGCAAGAAAGTCGTATGAATTTGTTGTAAGCCATTGCTTATGGATGAGGGGTTAATGAAAAATGATAAAACCAAACTCTTTACAAAAAAGTAAAAAACTAACTAAAAATTTCACAGACTGGCTTTTGTTAAGATGATATTCATTTGATGCGATTAAATGGTTAAAAATGACATTTTTCTTTGAACTACAATGCTTTTTTTAAATTTTATTTATTTATTTATTTATTTTTTTTTTATCATTATAAGTCATTTTGGCGTATAATGCTTATGAAGTTGCATTTTTCCTATTGCTGATTTGCTTAATTCAATTGGATCACATTATGAGGATTTCAGTTTTCTGTATGGTGTGGCTGAATTATCATGAGTACTAGACAATCAACTATTGGAGGCATTCAAATATAATATGCGTGAATACATTGAAATTTGTCTGTTTCTTTTATGCAAAATAGTTGTCTTGTTCTTATAGCTCTCTTCTGGTTCCTTCGCTAATTTGTCTTTAATTGGTTTTGTAAGCATGATGGAGTTGACAGTCCTTGCCAACCAATACAGGTAACAAGAATTGAGTCTCAATAGTATAAGAGATCTGGGAGTTTATACATGGGCCATGGCCAAGCACAAGAAATTCATGTAATAGGAATTCGGCCCACATTGAAGGTACATGTAAAGGTTTTCTAGGCATTTTCAAATAGATACTATAGAGCTAGTAGTGAGTTTTTTTTTCCTTGTTATTGTTAACTATGTTAGTTTCATATGTAAATATCTTTTTAACTGTTGAAAGGAGTTTATTTGTTACTAAAAAGAGCCTCACTAAGCAATCATTCCCATGAAGACAAATGAGAATTCAGCCCAATCAACTTTTCATTAGTTTTATCTAGCTTAGAACAAGTGATTTTCATAGCAACTAAAGTTTTCTTTGTTTCCATTTTTTTTCTTTTCTTTTTGAGAATAAAGTGACAAAAGACAGTACAAAAATGGCGTAGCCACTTCCCTATGCTAGTCATAGAGTCACGTGTGATTATTTCTTTTGGGCGAATGAGGGAAATAGCATAAATATCAATAATACCCTCTTTCATATACTTAAGGTTCAGATCCTCTTGTTCAAGTAGTCTTGCCATAGGATATGTTTGGTAGAGGGATTCATTCCCTGATTCGTGGTTCGCTACAGTATTTTCTCTCACAAAAAATTCACGTAAATAAAAAATGGTTCGAATCACATGGTTTGAATCCTCCAACCAAACGTCCTCATAGTGTTTTGTGTGGTCTCCGATGGTGGCATCGTTTTGCAGAACGGAGGCAAATAGAGAGAGAGAGAGAGAGAGAGACCTCTTGTTCAAGTAGTCTTGCCATAGTGTTTTGTGTGGTCTCCGATGGTGGCATCGTTTTGCAGAACGGAGGCAGAGAGAGAGAGAGAGAGAGAGGCATGAGACATTGTTGAGGATGACAAAAAGATTATTTTGGCGCGGCCTCATGATGATGCTGTTGTTGCGAGGAGCTCCCCACATCCGGTGGTGCGAGCATAGCGAAGAGATAGAGAAAGAAAATAAGGATAAAGAATTTTTTTAAAATAAGGATAAAATGGGAAAATAAATTTTTTTTTTTTTAAATCTTCTATTTACTAACTAATCAAAATAAGTTACTACTTACTATCTTAAATGTATGAAATCTACTATATTCTTCAAATAAAAAATAATGATGCTTATTCTACAAATTCCGATAATTTTCTTCTAGGTTTCAGTTTGGATTTTGTGTGTTGCATTTGTGACCTAACAGGCCTTTCCCAAATCAAATCTAAACTAGGTCCGTATGATCCCCACACCAGTGAATTTCCAGTCCTTACAAAGAGGATATTTTGGTCATTTCAAATATTGTTTTAATAAAGTATCCAGTAATTTTCAAAATCAAATTGTATCTATTCCTTTTCTTTTCGCTTTCAGAATCTCAGAAACCCCATTTGTGTCACCTTCTGAACACGTTCTTCTTTGTTGTTTGATGATGTAAGCTGATTTTGCCCAGTGATGGAAAAAAACCAAATCGAAACGAGCGGTTTAGCAAAGTGGTTCTTGTTCTTCACAAGCCTTTTTATACTGTACTGCCAACATCTCTTCTGCTTCTTCTTTTCCATATATATTCATACATATATATATACATAGATGAGTTTTTAATAGTTACGTTTCTATTGGTTAAAACCATTAAAATCACACTCATATATATACACACAAACACACGCACATATTTGTTGAGGTGGTACAGCCGTGGTTGTGTTTGGGGGTCTATTTGAAGAACTCCCATTTTGCTATTTTAAGCCCTTGACGAGTCTTCCAAAGCTATGAGATCTGAGGGCTTTTCATCTCTTTTTTCTATATATTTTTCAATGGTACCCATTTTAGTTTTTACCATGTAAGCCTTTGTTTGTGTTTCCTTTGGTTCTTTCCTTGAAAATTTTCAAATGGGTTTTTTCTAGTATCTCATTATTTGGGGTTTATGTGCCATTTTTTTATTTCTGGGGAATAAAGTGCAATTTTTAGCCATTATTTTATTTTATTTTATTTTTTTCTCTAAGTCCATTATTTTATTTTTGACATATGATGATGATGATACATGCACTGGGCTCTGAGCAGTTCGTCATTGCGCATATTGATGGAAATGCAGCCTAGAAAGCTTTGTCTGGACCCAATATGTTTAGATTTCGCTTTTCAGCTTTATGTGTTATGTATTGATTTGTTTGTGTTAGTTCTTTTTTTTCAAGTATTCTTCGAGTTTTGGTGATCCAATATGTATTTCATTTTATTAATATGGACCCACTACCTACAATTATATTAATCTGTATGTATGGATTTGTTTTAGATTACTTTTCAAGTAATATTTCGGTCTGCATTTCTAGTTTGTTTGGATTTGTTTTAGATTACTTTTCAAGTAATATTTCGGTCTGCATTTCTAGTTTGTTTAACAAGTGGTTCTTTCGAGTGTTACTTAGTCTAGTTTTGTAATTTAGAGTGGTGTGTTTTGTTGGTTTTGCCCTGTGATGGAACAAATATACTTTTGTTGGAAGCAGTTTCCATACTTTTTCATCATGAGCCGTGCTTAACATTTTTTGCTCTTTCCTCATCATCTTCATATCCTTCTTCTTCATCATCATCACCATCTCTCTCTCTCTCTCTCTCTCTCTCTCTCTCTCTCTCTCTAGGTCGTAGAAGATGTAAAGAGGCTCTTAATGAAAATTCTGTGGTTGTACTGCTAGTGACTGTATTTAGCTATGAGATCTGAGGGCTTTCTAAATGACTTTTATCTGTCATATTTTTTTTTTTTTGGGGTACTAAATGTAATCCCCAGTTTCCTTTTTCTTTAAATTTGCTAATTTTCTTGTGATTACTATTGAGTTGATTCTTCTGAACTGGCGTTTCATTCTTTTGTTGAGTATAATGTAGTTTAAACTAAAGAATATGTAATTCTATTTTCATTTTTAGACCATACCAATACCATTGAAGTATAGTCTACAGATCTGTTTTTATGCATATTGTATTTCACGTTGCCTCATCAATTGTTTAGCTAATGTACCATGTGACTCATTTCTTGCGATTTAAACTACAAAATATATGCAGGCTTTGTCAATTAATTTACGCCTAAAAATATTGAGAGAAAATGGTATTTCATTCTTGCCCAATGATGGAACATCATGGAGAGAAAATGGTATTTCATTCATATTGAGTAGTGCTTTGAGCTTCATATTTAAGCCTCCATCTCTTCATCCACTCCGCCTTCACCACCATTACTTTTAGTATCTACCCAACTAGGCCACTCTTGTTGTTTGTTTGGATGATGATGATGATGATAATGATTTGTTGTTGTTGTTGTTTTTGCTGCTGTTGTTGTGGTTGGTGGTTAAAGTCAGTGGTTTTGGTGGTCTTTGTTGACCTAATAATGGGTGTGATTGGCTTTCAATGAAAGCTTAAATGTCCATGAAAATCTTCAGCTGTGTATGGCTATGTGATCTGAGGGCAAGCTAATTGTAATTTTTTTTGGGATGTGATTAAATGCTTAGAAATGACATTTGCTCATTTGAATTTATATCGTTTAGTGCTTAGAAATTATTTTTGATCATTGGATGTTTTGTTTATCTTTTTATAATTTGGTAAGCTTTTTGGCCACTTTTGTATTCAGAGGTTTGAGGATACCTTATCCTTCGCCTGTTATTGATTTTATCATAAAGTTTTTCTTATAAAAAAAATTGTTTTTGGCCTAAAAGGCTTAAAAAGTTGCATTTTTCCTCCTTTTTTTTTTCTCTCCTCTGAATGCCCGCAGATGGCAATTTTCAAACAAAAATTATCTAAAATGTTTGAGACACCACCTAAAATTGGTTATCTAAAATCTAAAATGGACAAAAATCAACCTGAAATTTTGTTGAAGCTGGATCATTTTAACTAATTTATTATTATTATTATTATTATTATTATTATTATTATTCTTCTTGTTGTTGTTGTTGTTATTTTATCTGTTATGTGTAAATATTTATTCGTTCGTTTTAGGTTTTTAAGTTAGTGAATCTCATTGCCTTTTAGTGCATTTGCAATTTTCGGCTATTTATGAACAGTGTATTTCATTTAATCTTTCTGGAGCTTCTTAAATTATATTTTGTATATTTGTTCTATAGTATTTTCTACTAGTATTTTGGTTTCAATTTCTGCTGAGTTTCACATGTAGTTAATTCTTTCAGGTGTAACGTTATATTTTGCTGCTTTTGCCCTGTGATGGAACAAATACTTTGTTGGAAGCAGTTACCATGGTTTTTCATCATGAGCCTTACTTTACATTTTTTGCTCCGTCGTCGTCATCTTTAATGTCTTTCTTTCTTTCTTTCTTGATTTATTCTCTCTCTCTCTCTCTATCTATCTATCTATCATTAGGTGGTAGAAAATGTAAAGAGGCTATTAATGAAAAATTCTTTAGTTGTACTGCTGTTGACCATATAGAGCTATGAGATCTGAGGGCTTTCCAAATGACACTTGAATGTTATATATACTGTTATAACTTGTTATTTTCTGATAGATGATGATAGTTGGTTTGCACTCACTCTTTTGATCTGAGTAATTTTGTTGAAGCTCAAGAGAGTGCAATTTTTGTTATTATTATGTGATAATATTTATATTTTGTTCTTTTGTGTTTTTTGTGTACATTTTCTTTTGTGTTGTTGCCCTGTGATGGAAAAAAACCAAACCGAAACGAGTGGTTTTAGCAAAGTTGTTCTTGTTCTTCATAAGCCCTTTGATACTCTACTGCCACCATTTCTTCTTCTTCTTCTTCTTCTTCATACAATCTTACATTCATATATATATACACACATATCCATTGAGGTGGTACGGCGGTGGTTGTGTTTGGGGGTCTTTTTGAAGAACTCCCATTTTGCTTTTTAATGTCCAAAGCTATGAGATCTGAGGGCTTTTCATCTCTTCTTTTGTTTGTGTTAGTTTTCTTCAAGTAATTTCTGAGTTTTGGTGTTCCTATTATGTATTTCATTTGCTTAATCTGGACCAACTACAATTTAGATTAATATGTGTTGATTTGTTTTGTAGTATTTTCAAGCAATACATTTTTTGCTTAGTTTCACATGTTTTTTCAAGTGTCACTTACTCTAGTTTTGTAATTTAGAGAGGTTTATTTTGTTGGTTTTGCTCTGTGATGAAAATATATAAGGCCTATTCTTTTTGCGGGTTCTAGTTGAGAAATTGAGTTGAAAAATGAATTTATGTGACAGAAAATGCTAGCAAAAAGTTTTGAGTTGTGATTCGAATTGTGAAAAAAACCGTGCTTAGTTGAAAGCAGTTGCTGTGGATTTTAATTATGAGCCGTGCTTTACATTTTTTGCTCATCTTCTTCATCTTTATCATCATCATCATCCCTCTCGGTGGTAGGAGATTGGAAGAGGCTCTTAATGAGGATTCCGTGGTTGCGCTGCTAGTGGCCAGATTTTGCTATGAAATCTGCGGGCTTTCTAAATGACATTCAAATTAGATATACTTAAGCTTTCTTTCTGAGTAGTTGATGATTGTTGGTTTGCATTTACTCTTCTGATAATTTAATTTAGATGAAGATGATGATTATGCAATTTTATTCATTTTTTTCTGCGTTAGTATTTGCCTTATCTTGTTCTTTAATTGTTTGCATAATTCTACAAAACAAATGCAAGGTTTGTCAATTAATTTCTGCCTGAAAATATTGATAAATAAAAGTGGTGTTTTACCCTTTGCCCAATGATGGGAAATCATAGAATTGAGCAGGGCTTGTTGCTTCATTTTAGATGTGCTGCTTTAGTATTAAATTTGATCCCCGATATCCTTTCTCTTTTAAACTCTAATTTTTTGATTCATGGTTTTAAATTTGCATTTCACTCTTTTGTTGAGTGTGAGTTAAAGATTATGCAATTCTATTGTCATCACAAGATCATTAATATAGTAGTGCTTTTATGCGTATTGTATTTCATGTTTCCTCATTGATTGTTAAGCAAATGTATCATGGATGTAACCCATTTCTTGTAATTCAAACTACAAAATAAATGCAAGCTTTGTTAATTAGTTTCTGCCTAAATTGCTGGGAAAAATTTGAAATTTCACATTTGCCAAATGATGGAGAATCATAGAATTGAGTATTGCCTTGAGCCTCATTTCTCTTTATCGACTCCCACACTGTCTCCCCCACCACCTTATGATTTCACATTTTCCTTTTTTGCGACTTATATTTTTTGTTCATAACTTGTGATTTTATGATTAGATGTTGATTGTAGGTGTGCATTCATGTATCCGAATGAGAATTATTTTATTTAAGCTGAAGAAAATGCAATTTTATTATTCTTTTATCTGTTTTTATTTTGGTTTTTTTCTAATAATTATATGTGTTGGGAAGAGCGAAATCCATATAGTCGACCTTAATTAAGTTGGGATTAAGGCTTGTTGTTGTTGTTGAATAATTATCTGTATCTATATTTTGTTCTTTGCGGTAGTAATGTAATTGACTTGTTGAGTCTTGGCATTCTTTTTCTGTGTATAGTTCTGTTTTTATGCATGTTGTGCTTCATAGTGCTCCATGCCTTGGAAGATTATTACCCAACAAGAGTAATTGATTGAGAAATAAAAATGGCATTTCAGTCTTGCCCAATGATGTGAAATCATGTAATTGAGTATTGCTTTGTGCTTCAATTTTAAGCCTCCATCTCTTCATCCACTCCCACACCGTCTCTACCGCCACCTTCAAGATATACCAAACTAGGTCGGTCTGGCCGTAGTCGTTGTTTTTGTTTTTGTTTTGTTTTGTTTTGTGGCAGGTGGTGGTGAAAATTAGTGGTGGTAAGGGTGCGATTGGCTTTCAATGGAGCTACAATGTCCATGAAAATCTTTGGCCACCTAGTCGTGTGATCTGAGGGCAAGAAATTTTCATTCTATAATCAATATAGTGTCAGTGATCTTCCACAGGATAGAGGATGCTTGAAGTGGCCTTTACAAATCACTTATGGCCCGTTTCGCTGGAGTGTTTTCTTTCATAAAAATTTAAATGTAAGGTTTCTCAATTAATTTTTGCCTGAAAATATTGAGAAATAAAAATGGTATTTTATCCTTTGCCCAATGATGGGAAATCATAGAATTGAGCAGGGCTTGTTGCTTCATTTTTAAGCCTCCATCTCTT